TTCTAGCTATTTTCCTTAGTAACAATAGGGCAGGCATTATGCTATCTTACAAATGAAGAAACTGAAAACTTCAAAGAGCGTAGATTGGCTTGCTCAAGATTGCATGGCTCTGCTTCCAAGTCTGGTGATTGTGCTTCGCAGAGAATTGTTTACAGAAGGGGAAAGTCCTACCTTATGCAAGTGTAAGAGAGCACCAGAGGTTTGTGCTGCCAGCCAGCAGTCTGTCTTTATCCCTTATTTATAAACAATAAAAAGGAGTGCTCTTTATTGCAAATGCAATGGGACTGAAGAAAAGGCTACTTGGGGGGAAAATAGAAGGCAGCTGAAATAGACCATTTGGATTTTTTCCATGTGTGCAATCCACAGCCAAGTCTAAAGCTGCTAGTCCAACTCCTCCCAGCCTTGCCAAGAGACCTTCCGGACAAAACTGGCAGGAGGTAGGCAGACAAGTAGCTGTGATCAAACAGAAGGAAGGGAATGCAGTGAACTTTATAAAATACCTGAACACAGTTGTGGACCATTTTTAGTGCAAGTAATTGGTGAAATAAGGATTCCTTAAGGAAAGATCAGATTTTTATCATTTGTTTCTGGAATGATATATACACAAGTCATGGACACTTCAGAGCACATGATGGTCTAAAGTGAAGTGAAGTGTTCTTACCTCTTTTCCTCTTCCCTGTTTCCATGTTTTATTTATGGAGCAGTATTAAAGAGTCTCACAAATCACTGGATGTGGTGGCACACTTCTGTAATCTTAACACTCAGGAGGCTGGGGCAGGAAGAGCATCTTAAGTTTGATGCCAACCTGGACTGAAGGCAGCCTGAACCACATAGGAGACGCTGTCTCAAAAAAAAAAAAAAAAACCAAACAAACAAACAAAAAAACCCAAACCCCTAAACAAAAACAAGACCACGCCCAACCAGCCTTCCAAAAAACCAAATAAATAAATAAATAAATAAAGCAAACAAAAACAAAAACAGTATCCTGCTGTGAAGTTCTGCAATTTCACTGCATTGTCTAGATTGGCTTTGTTCTGTTGTATTTTACTATCCTTGAAATAAAATTAAAAATCAACCAAACAGACAAAAAACAAAAACAAAAACAAAAAAAGTTCTCACAAAACAGAGGAAATTAAGAATCTTCATACTTCCTTGTTAGTGATTTAATCTGATCATAGTGAGGTGCACACAAGAAGGAAACACCTGGATAAAGGTCCCCGGGACAGGGAGAAGATGTGGGAGAGGGGGCTGATGCAGCCGTCGCCACACACTGCTCTGTGTGATGCTGGCCTGCCTTAGGGACGTTAGCAGTGTTGTTGGGAGGCTGGAGAAGGAGCCAGGAGTGTAACCTAGATCTAAACTGTACATATGTCCATGCATACACAGCACTTTTCTTAGCAATAAAAGTTTATAAAGTATTTGCCTGATGGGTACTTGGGTATTTTATTATTTTTAAGAAGCTATTGAAAGTTTTTATCGTATACAAAATGTATAGTCAATGAATGAAAAAGCGGAACTGAATAGTGAATCTGTTTTTAGTTATCAGTTATATCGACTATCAATTCATGGACAACCTTTTATCCACATCTACTTATTTTAAACAATATTTAGAATCTTATAGTTTGACCTGTAAATGGCTTAGTGTTTATCTCTAGAGGGTAAGAACTAAAACATGACCACAATATCAAGACACCTGAAAAATTAAACAGCTGTTCTTTTTAACAATTAGATTTTTGGCCATTTAAAAAGCATTCTCCAGTTCTCTTGCTATTATTTGTGTAGTTTGATTAACTCAATTCAGTGAAATAGCATGTTGGAAATAGACTTCTAATTTATAGGTTTTCATGATACTTATTCTCTTTACCCCTTCAAATTTAATTGGTAAAGAAAAAGCAGATCACTTGTCCCAGAATTTTCCATAGGCTGGATTTTGCTCACTGCATGTTCTGACATCCTTTAACAGGTTCTTTGGTCCGCAGTATTTGCTGGAAATTATCTAGGTTGAGAGCAGGGCTCTCACTTTGTGCACTGGTGACCTTTTGGGCCAGACACTTCTTTACTGTGTGGGCTGCCTTGTGCACTGTAGAGTATCCACTGCTGTCCTGGCCTGCGTGCCCTGGAAGCCAGGAGCACCTGTCAGCGGGGTCAACTTGGAATGTCTGCTGACACTGTCAAGTGTTCTCTGGAGCAAAATCACCATCTCTTCTACTCCAGTTAAAAATGACAAATCTGGAAGCATCTTTATCCAGGCTGAACGACTTTGTGTGTAAGGATGTGTATCTCCAGCAAAACAAAAACAAAAACAAAATTTGTTTCCAGCAGGAGGCGCTCTCTCTTACTCCGCACCACCCTCCCCCGCCCCCGCCCCCAGTGGCCCTTGATCGCTGGAGATCCATTTAGTTAGTGGTGCTTATTATAAATGTCACTTCAGATACCCAGGACTGAGACCCAACCAGAAAACAGTATTTTATTCTATTTCTGCAGGTCCCCCCCATTTTGGTAACTGGGGATTGAACTCAGGACTGTGCACTTGCGAGGCAGGTGCTCATGCCGCAGAGCTAAATCCCCAATTTCTGCAGTTTTAATGCATGGTAGTCATTACTTGTAGACAAACTGAGAATCAGCCTGTGAATATAACTTGTTTCTCATTCTTAGAAATAAAGTTGTTGATAGCAATGGGTCTGAATATGACAGCCACCTAGAAACTATTTATAGGTAGTCCCAGGTGTTGAAAGACTCCACAGGACTTATTTCCCCCATCCCCCTGTATTTGAAAGGATCAAGAAGCTCAATCCAGTAATTCATAGCCCTGCCTGTCAGACCAGACCCCTAGGTTATGGTCCCTGCCGTGTCAGCCTTCTCACTCAAGACCTGGAGCTGGAAAACAGAGCACCTCGAGGCCATTCCAGGCATTCCTTCCCACAACAGAGCTTGGTGTGAGAGTCCTCCCAGGGAGGCGGGGAGCAGGGAGGGACAGATGGACGGGCGAAGAGGAAGGTGTGGGGATTTAGGTCCCCACAAGAGTATATTTGAAATAAAATAAATATGTATGGTATGGGAAATATTTATGGTCTAGCCTTTTTACTTGCTATAGTTTTATATTATAAAAATACTATAGTGTTATAGTATTGTAAATATTATATAAACATAAATATAAATTATAAAGGTATCAATATATGAAATTATGAATATTATATAAAGATTATTATGAAAGTACTTCTGGTTATTCTACAACTTGAACTGTTTCTGAATATATAGATATTTAAAAAGATGAAACAAGTAAAAGTTCATTTTACTTTAGTATTCTGTTCATCTATGAAATGGCACCAGGCTGGGCACACACCTGTAATCCTAGCACCTAGGCGGCTGAGGCAGGGAGATTGCTGTGAGCTTGAGGCCAGCCGGAGCTCCATAGTGAGCTCAAGGCCAGCCTGAACTACACAGTGAGACCCTGTCACAAGAAAAAGAGTCACCTGATATTAAATGGCTTGTCAACTAATTTTCTTTTTAAGTAGTAGATTCAAAACTGTAGTCCATTTTACTTCTAATGGGATTAACATCAAGGAAAAACCACTCATGCAGAGTCTAAAATAAACATCAGAACAATGCAGCAATTATGGGTCATTCAGTTAATACATTGAAGTGACTCTTGGTTGCTCAAAAATAGTGTTTTTTTCAGTGAAGTAAAAAGGTGATTTTGTGCCATATTGAATGATTTTGGTGTGAGTAAAACTGTGGCTGATTATTGTTGCTTTGCAGCGCTTCCCGTTTTGTTGCTTAGGAATGCCAAAGAAAGGGTCAAATCCTGGTACAATGAGGGCTTTCTTGCTGGTAATCAGCAGCATTTGGTTGGCTTGCGACTGGGACTGCTTTGTCCCTGAAGTTTTATTTCTATTGACTTTCTGTTCTATAGAACTCAAACATTTTCCTTTGCACGCCTGACCGTGGAAATGCTAACAGTTGGGAGAGAGCTGAAGGTGGCTACACTCTCTCCGCGGACCCTGAGAGCTGGCGAGGAGAGCGTTGTCCTCCGTACTCAGTCCGGGTCCAGGCAAGGTCCGGCTCATGTGGCTTCATCTTCTGTGTCACAGCAGAGATGCACCTTGTAGCAGCCTCAGAGCTGACATAAGGATTCAGAGCCCTGAAGTGTGCAGGAAAGAGGAAAGTGTCTTTCCTTGAGTCTTTTTCATACGAGCACTATATATATATATATATCTCCCATCTTTAAGAAGACTCTTGGCTCCCGCTCAGCACTCACCTACTTGCTTTACTTTCTTTTCAACCAGTTATGTAGAATTGTCCTTAATCACTATTGCCATTTACTTTCTTCATTCTTTAAACCCATTGAAAACAGTCCTTTATCTTCACCAACCTCCTGGAAATACTTTTGTCAGTGCCACAAAGGGCTGCCATTCTGCTAAAAATAATTTTCTAGCTTTTTTTTTTTTTTTTTTTTTGGTGGTGGCTGGGCCTCAAACCCAGGGCTTTATGTATGCTGGCCAGGCACTGTATCACCAGGCCACACACCCACAAGCCCAGCCTTATGGATCTCATTCACATAGAACCTTATCAAGGAGCTAGCGACTCCTTATCTATCCTGATTACCATTTTTACCCTCCTGTATTTTTGTAATTATTTTTATTTTATTTTGTTTTTCTTTTCTTTTCTTTTTCTTTCTTTTTTTTTTTTTTGGATACAGGGTTTCACTATGCAGTTCAGGCTGGCCTTAAACTCTCTTTGTAGCCCAGGCTGTCCTCCAACTCACAGGGATCTTCCTGCCTCAGCCTCTGAGTGCTGGAATTACAGGTGTCTGCCACCTCACCTGGCTTGTAATCATTTTTATGTGCAGCTTTCAAGTATGCTATTCCATCCTTCCTGACAGCAGGGGTTTTATTTCATAGTACCTGGCACATACCTGTGATTGTTTTCAAATGAGGTATTTTTAAAAGCACTGTTGGAATTCCTGTTTCACTTGTGATTTTGCTCTTTATTCTGTTTTTTAAAATATGGAACAGTTCATGAATGTGCATGTCATCCTTGTACAGTGCCATGTTAATTTTCTCTGTATCATTCCAGTTTTAGTATATCTAGGTACTACCTGTTGAGTAGAATTGTAACAGAGAAGAAGGCAGCGTGCTGTAGGATAATAATTGGCTCCTGGCACACTGGCATTTTTACTGGCAAATCTGAGGTGATTTACTGATGAGGTTCCAATTATGTTGGACCAGGATCCCCACGGAGGGTGATTGGAAGGAGCTGCTTTTACCTTGGGGAGAAGCTGGGCTTCCTGTCTATTTGGGTTTATTCTATCTAGGAGAGGCTTTGGAATGGACAGCGGGAGAGAGGGATGTGCCCAAGTGTCATGTGGCCCCAAATGCCAGCATATAGCCTCATAAGCCGTCCCATAGGCAACCAGTGCCCCCTGCTAACATAGGTGTTATAAAATCCTTGTTCACCTGCGAAAGGCAGTCTCTTGGCACCGTTCTTTGGAGCATTTAACGCACAATCTAAAAATTTTGTTTCTCATTGACTTCTGTGTTAAAGCTTCTGTGAGACTTTTATTTTTTGATGTTAGAGCTAAAGTCTTTATCACTTTTGCAGTTTTGAATGATAATTTTTGTGTGGGGAGGAGAGGCTGCAGATCCTGAGTCATTGGAGCGATCTCCAGACATGTTTCCTCTTCCTGCTTTTCGTTCTCCTCCTTCTCCTCCTCTTCCTCCTCTTCCCCCTCTTCTCCTCTTCCTCTTCTTCTTTTTGCCTTAATTGAGACAGGGTCTCTTGTTGGTCTTTGAAAGCACCCTTATCTTCTACTATTTTTTTTAAAAACCAGGATCAAACTCACGATCTCGCACTTGCCAGGCAGGCACTTATGCCACTGACCTAAATTCTCAGCCCAAACTCCATATTCTTTTTGACCATTGTGCCAGATTGTGAGAACAAAACATATTTGAAGCCTTCTTGACAAGGTAATGAAGGATAGCGCCTTGTATTTGTATCCTGGTTTAAATGATTTCCATTGTAGGAGGTTACAAGAGCCTTACAACATTTCCCTACATCGTCCTTATTGATTATATAAGAAGAACTAGAGTATGAAACCTTTTTAGTGCTGGTGACTCAACTCAAGGCCTTCACACTGAACTACATCCCCAGCCCTTCTTTATTTGTTATTTTGTGGCAGGATCTCATTAAATTGTCCTAGCAGGGCTGGTAGTTGCCATCCTTCTGCCTCAGCCTCCTAAAGTGCTGGGGTTACAGGTATGCACAGTCATGCCCAGCTTCATGAAAATTTCTTTCTGTAAGCCAAATGATTGACAGAAAGCATTTTAGAAAATCTTCAAGTACCAATCTCGGATGTGTATTTTGGGGCAGCGCTCAATTTGGGGGGAAATAAGAACTTGTTTGGTCAGAGGAAGAGTGTTCTCACGTTTTGTGTCAGATAGACTTCGAAGATCTGGAATCTCACATTTTTTGTCAGGTAGACTTCGAAGATCTGGAACTTGCTTAGCAGGTATTTGACAAGCTTTCTGTTAAAACACAATTCCAAAGGTAGAGTTTCCTTGGCCTTTTGTATATCATTTTCTGTCTTATTGTGCTTTGTCTACACTGGGAGTGCTGCAGGACATTTCAGTCACTGGATGGATTTGTTCCATAGTGGGAGAAGTTAAATTTAAGGTTGCTAAGCAAAACTTAAAAAAAAGAAGTGTTTTAGGCTGTCTCTCAATGAGAGGCTCAAAGGACCTTGACTTTTTGCTTCCTGAATGAATGAACATCTTTAGCAAAGGAAGTAGAATCTGTTCCTAACTCTTTGCTCAGGGTGAACACTTGGGACCTACCCTTTCTGCAAGGGTCCCCAAGAAGGGAAAACCATTTGGAAGCAGATTTCCAAATGTCTCGGTAGTCACTGAAGCCAAAGAGCTCTGTATAATCCCCGCCAGGCATGTGCACCTTAGGTTATCTGTGCACAGGGAAGAGTAGAGGTGTGCAGGGGTCGGGGGCTTCTGCTCCTCCTGTTGACTGAGAGATTCATTATCAGCGGAATGGAGACAAGAAAGCTGTTTGCGCCTCATTCCGAGTGTCAAACCTCTGACCTCTGGCCTCATGGTACTCGCCCTGACGGCATCAAGCTGGCCGGGTTGCTGTTGGAATGAGCAGCGCCAGCAAACGTGCAGTCCTGTGAGGGGACCCTGTCTTAGTTCTTTCGGTTTTGTGGCACTAGCTCTCAAAAAGCAGGGTAGAGAAATCAAGAGCCCCTGCCTGGCACGTTTATCCCCAATCCCTCATATCTCCAATAATCACCTTAAGTGAGGTACCCACAGTCCAAGCCCAAATAAATTGCCCTCCTGACAGGTACCTTATCTGTTGCAAAGAGCTGGGGTTTTCTAAGTCCCCCCCCCCCTCTTGCTTGCTGCTGTTCTTAGAAGGTGAGATAACAGGCTGACTCCAGGAGCTCCCTGGCACATAGAGGGGTGTGGGGGGAGGAAGCACATGCTGGCCTCACCTGGCCTTTTGCACCCAGAATTAGTAAACAGAGTTGTGGGACCCTTTGAAGGTGCTTTGGTGCAGGGTATCGTATCAGTGATGAAAAGTGAGCACTAGCTCACTTTAGACTGTGAAAAAATAAAATCTCAGAAAAAAATTAAACTTTTAATCAGCTACTAAAAAAAAGCCTTCCTTTTTCTGCTGTTTGATCTTCTTTACTTAATCATTCTAAAGTTTCACTTGAACTTAGAAGTGGACGCCCTCAGAGAGGACAGTCTGTTTTTGGTCTCCTTCATTGTTCTTTGGCCCCTTCCGTCCTCTTCCCTCTTTTGTCTTTCCTTCAGAGCAGTGTGCTGGCACTTGTATCACAGGACAGAGAGTAACAAGATGCTGCACTTGGGTGCTTTAGTCTCGGTTGAGGTCTTTGGACAGGATATGGATGGACAGCGTTCTCCTTGAAACTGAGAGGTTGGCAGATTCTGCAGGCTCCTGGGCCTCAGGTGACAAGGCACAGCAGTATTAGTTAGCCCACAAGTATTCTTTTCTCTTCCCTCAGTTGCGTGAAGGGCACTCAGATGGCATCTGTCGCATGCCCTATATGGACCTGCACTTTCTGTGCATCTTCTAGGTCTTTAGCAGGAGTCCCCTTGGCTCAGTGTGGGTGTTTCTGTTGAGCAGAGGATCGATTGATTGTGTGTGACTCCAGAAGGTCAAGACTTAAAGACAGTTCATTCACAAGAGTCCTTCTGCCTGGAGATGGAAAGATTTAGGCCTATCCCTCCCTTACTGTACAGAAATGGAAAAGATCATTTGGAGCCTAATAGTTTTTAAAGTTTTGATTTGTTAACATGGAACAGGTTTAATGTAGTTTTAGCACAGAATTTTGTGCAGTTTCTGCTTGAAAGACTGTGGAACTGTCCAAAGAACAATCTTAAAATATGCATAAAATCATAAATTGGGTTCTTAAATGCAGGATTAGCATCAGCGTGTAGCGTGTTATTTGTCCTTTGAAGTTTTAACTAAGGCATAGCTTTTCCTTGCTTAAAAAGAAATTTGAAGATAATCAGAAACTTATTAAGAAAACAATCTTTAATGAGAAAAATAGACCAAGGAAGTTATTATATTCATGGGAAGGAGGGCATTCAAAGACCATAAAAAGCATGCACTTAAAATATTTGATTAGTTAATTAATATTTGTAGGTTTTTTTGAGAAGGGGTCTTGCTATGTGATTCGGGATGGCTTTGAACTCACTATATAGCCCAGATTAGCTTTGAAATCATGAATCCTTCTGCTTTAGCCTCACATATGCTGGGAATACAGCATGTACAACCACGCCAGACTGGAAAGTCTTAAAGTTTGTTTGCTATTCTCATTCTGTTTTTTTTCTATTTTTAAATAAATAGATTATCCAGTATGTGAGCAGCTTACTTGTGCCAATGGAGCCTGCTACAACACAAGCCAGAAGTGTGATTCAAAAATGGATTGCAGGGACTCCTCTGATGAAGTCAACTGCAGTAAGTTCTGTGTGCGGGGGAGCAGTGATGTGTGAAGCCAGTTGATACTGATGTGAGAGAGCACATTCTATGCATCTCTCCCCAAGTGAGTGTTCAGTGAATTCACGTTGATAGTTTGAAGTCAATTACCAATTGGAGTATTTATACCACAGACATTGGTGGATGCTGCAAATTAGGAGCCTTTTGCTCCTAGAGAGCTGATTGCTAATATATTCACTGGCACACTGTGGTCTAATCAGAGTTGCTTCTTAAACTTGAGAGAAGTGGCTATCATAGACTTAATTCTCTTTTTTTGCTTCCTAATTTTGTGTTCTAGCTGAGACATGCATGCACGATGAATTTCAGTGTGGCACTGGAGAATGTGTCCCTCGAGGCTATCTCTGTGACCATGACCAAGATTGTAACGACGGCAGTGATGAACATAATTGCAGTACGGTGATTTCCTTCTACTGGGTTACGTGGTTGGGAATACTTGGTTGTTTTGTTTTCCCTCTACTTTTTTCAGGGAAAAGAGTCACTATATTTGATGGAGATGGAGCTCAAAAGATCCGGTTGGGGATGTGGCCGTATTTTAGGATCCAGGCTCCTTTATTTTGCAAGGGTCTATGTAGAACTGAAGTGTTGCTGATGGCCAGTTTGCATTCTTTCTTGGGTTCTGTATTGTATCACAGAACTCTGAAATTACCCCTACTGCAGGAATGGCTCTGATGATTCTCATAGTGAGATGAGAGACAAGACTGAAAGGGAAAGGGATTTCCTACTGGCAACAGTGCTGCCTTCTTCTTTACATTACAATTGGAGGGTCAGGAAAGCTCTGATGCCCAGCATGGAATGAATCATTTTCTTTTCACCTATTTTGACTGGTTGGCACCCACGCCTCTTGGGGTTGTTGAATATTTCCAGTATCACATTTTCTATGAACTCTGCCTGATTTCTTTTATGATACCCGAGCTTATTTCAGGGATTGTATTAAAAACAATGTGACCTCATGGAATGGGTGCCTCATTCGATTACAGTGCTTGTGGCAAAATAGGAGGGTGTTGGTCATTTGTATGTCTCCTGCATCTTAATTAGTTGGCATTAGTTTGTTTTGGATACACTTGGCATC